TGACAGAGAGCACTGCCACTGGGGCCCTGGCCCAAAGGAGAGGCAGAGGGGCCCTGCTCAGCCTCTACCCACACACAGTCTAGGCCCCAGCCTCCTTTTGCTGCCTGCAGAAGGCCCAGCTTTCCTTCCCAGCAGGTAACCTAGTCACAGGTGTGCTGAGTGGCAGGAACATGGGATTCTGAGATGCCCATTCTGTGGTCACTGGCAGAGCAACATCCTGGGATCTTTCAAAGCAGTCTGGCCCTGAGCTCCTGGGCTGGGGGGGACATGGGAGGGAGATATCACTCAGGCTCACAGCTTGCACCCCACTCCCACCAGGTCTCAGGTGACCTCTCTTCTCCACTTCTCCATTTAGGACACCCCAGGAATTGAGGCCACACTAGGGCCTCCTGGAACCTGCTTCACCTGGGGAACTTCAGGGCTCCAGGGAGTCCTCCACTGAAAATAAAGAACCATATTTTATGACTGTTTTGATATAAAGACAAACGCTAATGTACATTAACACATTTTCTTGGATCTAAAATTTGCCTTTTTATTGGAAAACAAAAACAAAAACAAAAAACACACATATCTGTAGGTCCCTAAAGGCAGGTGGCTGAGTGAGTGCCATGCTGACCAGGGACCCAGCCTCGTCAGGCACATGGTCCCTCTGGAGTGGGCTCCCTTCAGACACTTTTATCCTGCTAGGGCAGGAGATCTGCGACCAGCCACCAGTCCATGGGGCACAAAGGCTGCCAGCAGCCCCCAGAGGATGACCTTTGAAGGCCTTTCAGCTCTGGAGCCATAATTAGAGCAGCCAGCTCAGCAGAGTGCTCTTGAGGCCTGCACACTCCTTCCCCAGCAGAATGGGGCTTTAAGTGGACGCCTGCACTGGGCTGGTCAGCCTTAGCCTAGAAAGTTCTCAGGTGGCCATGGGCCACAGGGCTCCTTGGGGATGGGCCTTTCTCCCTCCAGTTACCTCCTTATGCCCAAACCCACCTATGGAGTTCAGACCCCTCGAGGTGGGTGGGCTCTGTCTCCACTTGCAGAAGGTGGCTCCGCTCTGCCTCTTCTTCCTTCCCAGGTTCTGCACCAGGGCCAATGCTTCCCACGAGAGCCCTCCACACCTGGACCCACTTTCTTGTCTCCATCGGCCACAATAGTTGCTGGCCACCAGTGCATACTCAGTCTCAGTGTGGGACACTCCAAAGCTTCCCCTCCATCCCAGGAGGTTCCAGAGCCTGGCTGACTTAGTTCACAGTGCTGTGTTCTACGATGTGATCAGAGATAGCTGGAGTTTGGTCTGGCCTTGTAAGTACCCATGGGCCCCAGATCTCCATGCCTGCTGACCCCCTCCCCAGCCCTGCAAGTGACCCTCTGGGCATGACTTACTCCCCTCCTTGTCCACTCTTCACTTGCAGTAGTACAGGCAAACCAGGTCCAGAGCTGTCAGAAGCACATTTCAGATTCCCAACTTCCTCGATCATGTCCACAACCCCCAGTGTCTACCAGGAAGCCCTATGGCATATCCCACCTTCCTAGGTAAGATGAGCTGCCTGCTTGCACCCTCAAGAAAGGAAGAAGGGCAGTGGGGGACTGAATGAGCATCTCAGCTCAGGCAAGGTCTGGGCAGTTTGACCAGGGCTGAGCAGCCAGGGCAGCCTCCTGTCCTCCGAGGAAGCTGGCCCAAAGACACCACGGTACCCTAGTTGCCCAGTCCTCTGTCTCCTAACTACCTCCCTCCCCTCTCCTCCCGCCCTTCTTCTCTTTGCAAGAGTTCTATCTACAAGGAGGATTGAAATGTCACAGGACATGATTCATCAGGTGGCATCCCTCGGGGCCAAGGCGTGTGCTGCACTCATCAGTGTCACTGAGATGTAAGTGTGAATTCTCCATTTTTCAGGTGAGATTAATGTGCTGGTGAATATCATTGTTCAGAGAAGGAAGGGCAGTGTGCTGGAGCTGGGAGACCTGAGACTGCTGGCAGGTCAGCCCTTGGGGCAGGCCCACTCCCTGGCTCTTCGTGTCCAGCTGAGCTCAGAGGGCTGGGCTGGTGCTCTGCCTGTCTCCGGAGCAGGTCTGGGCTGGGCTGGAGAAGCATCCCTGCTGCCCGGGATTCTTGACCTCCCTCCACAACACACTTCCAGTTGTGCTCCCCCGAAAGAAAGTTCTCTGTTCTGGACATGGTGTCCTGTCACAAGAAACCTGTTCCCCAGAAGAGGAACCTACATTTAGAACACCAGGCCCCTCGACAAGACTCTGCCTTTCGCCCTTGGGCATATGTCTCCTCCCTGCCAGTGACTGAGCTGCTGCCATTCCCTCCTGTCCTTGTGGGGTTGGCGCATGGTAGGGAGCTCCTTTGCTCAGTAGACACTGCAGAGGCAAAGGTGACCTCTGCATTTCTATGTCCACTCCAGACTTTTCAGGGGATGGAACACTGGGCACCTGGGGTGCTTCCTAGCCCACCCCACACACCTGTATAGATGCGGTGCTGAATAAAGGTGTAAACAAATTGCTCACCAAAGAGAAAAATGCCGTTCAGGGCTTGATTAAAAATTCATTTCTTGCTTTTCATTTGAGAAAAATAATTCTGAGTCTAGCAGTCTGATTTCTTTGCATGGGAAACTTGACTCTCAGAAACACCCACAGAACCTTCATAACTTCTAGACCACTATAACCCATGGCCTGAACTCCTCCAGTGGCCACATGATGTCCTAGTCTCTTCTGTAGCAACCAGCAAGGTTTCAAATGTCTGCATAGAATAAAAATTAAAAAAAAAAAGAAGAAGAAGAATGGAAGTACTGGGTGTGCCTCAGCAGACATATGGATGGATGGACCATCTGATGATGTGATTTGGGGAAAGAAAAATGCTGAGCCTGGTGGCAGCCCAGAGGTCCACCTGGATCTGCCTGCTAACTTCAGAGTCACCCAGAAGGGATCTTCCAGTGGTTTATATGCCTGAGAAGTAAACCTGTGTGGCTGAAAATTCCATTCCTCATCCAATGCTTAGGTCAGGGGGTTAGTAAGGCTCTTTAGAAGCACAGTCTCTCCAAGGACAGAGGACACATTAGACCTCAGCAGTCAGGGTGGGGTCAGAGGCACGTTCCAGGACCTCTGGAGGACTGTGAGGCTCCTTGAAGCCCAGGGCAGAAGATGGACCAAAAAAAAAGCCCTCTGACTCAGCAAGCCCCACGCGGATAATGAAAATACACAGCATATTTTCATATTTCCCACTCTCTGGAACGGCCAGGTGACTATCCAGCAAGCCCCAACACCGCACCCCCAATACACACACACACACACACACACACACACACATGAGTGACCCCAGAAACACAGAGCAAATACTATGGCGGCAAACCCAGTGCTCACGGAGCCCCAACGCCCAGCACCCCCAGATTGGTGCCACGCCCCAGAACGACATCATCTGACAGGTCAGAGCCCCATTCCGCTTTCCGACCATAGAGGGCGCCTCGAGCACGTCCATTCAGAAACTGCTCTAAGGTGGCCACAGCCCGAGCCCGCCGGCCGCGCGGTCCACTGGGGAGCGAGGCCCAGCTCTTCTTGGGGCGCCGTCCCACCCCTCCCCACTGCTCACTGACGCGCACCCCCACAGTCAGGCCACTTCTCGTGCAGCGGCTTTCTCGTCTCCTCCCCGAGGCTTTTCTTCCCGCCTAGGGGCCCAAACCCTATCCTCTGCCGGAAAGGACCGGCAAGTGAGGAGAAGCGCTGGGGAAAACGCAGGCGCGCGTAGGAGGTGTCTGCTCGGGATGGGGAGAGCTGCCGGAGCCTCAGCAGCGGAGGAACCGTGGGCAAAGACATCCCGTCCGACTTTCCCGCCGTAGTTGGCCCGCAACCTTCACTAAGCGCAGCCTGGGAGCTGCGGGGCCCGAAGGGGCACGGGAAAGGGAGGCACAGGCTCAGGGTATAGGTGGACGGGGTGGGACCTGCACTTCTCCCCACTAAGCGGGTTTCTCCAAGGTGCACATCCTTGCTGGCGGGTTTTGAAATATTTGCTTTCTCAGTGTTTGCAAACTCAAGTCGCGGGCGTCCCAAGAGCCCCTGCGCAGGGTTCCCAGAGCCACCGTTCGGGCGAACGCACGGGGGCCAGACCTGCAGACTTAAGTGCCGCATTTAGGATACTTTTCCACTCGCGCGCGTCCCTGGCCAGCTCCTTCGTGCATTGTTTCCTGTCGTCTCTCCCAGCTGCCTCCTCCCCTGCCGGGCCCCGGGCATCTGGCGGATTATTTGTTCTTGGCTCACTCGGTGCGCGCGCGCGCTACAGGGCAAAAAAGACGCAGGCCGTGGCACGGAGGTTCAAGGGGCGTCCTTGGAGACCAGACCCCTCCCCTCTTCCTCGACTTTTACCACAGCCACATCTGGCTCACTCGCTCTCCTAGAGAACCCCGGAACCGCAGTGCTTCCAGCACGTCTCTCTGGAGAATTTAAAAGAATCTTCAAAATTTCCAAGTTACGTTTAACCAAATAATTAATTTTAAAAAAATTAAAAATTAAAAATAATTCGGAGAGGTATTTCGTACTGGATTATTTTCGTATTTCACCCAGAAGACAACCCTACACCAAGAGGCACTGTTCAGACTACTTACGAACTGATTTTGAATCCAAATTTCTCCTTTGGGGAGCGGGTGTTTCGAAATTCTTTTAATTTACCCCCATTTCTGCCTACTTAAAAATCACTTTACAAACTGTGTAAAATTGTACTCATTTTTTTCCCAAGAAAGATGTGCCCCAGATAAATGTTTGAATAAGCGTTGAAAAGAATGGACCTGCCAACAAGAAACTGTTCTAGTGACAAAATTAACAAACTCAGCCACCACCACCACAAGCAAATGCCTGTTTGAAACACCGGCTTGCAGAGTGGAAACTCTCTGCAGGCCCTCCCCCAGGAGTCGCTCTCCGCCAGCCACAGGCCTTTGAGCCCTGCCCAGGGTTCCAGGATCCTGGTGCACCCCTCCCACACAGGCTTTGCACAGCCACACACTGCAACAGGAGCATCGGGCTTCATTTCATTTAGTTTATTAGACAAAAATATATGATTTAGACAAGTTCGCTGACGCGCTATTTACAATCTGAAATCACTCTATATACAGAAAGAAAGAAAGAAACAAACAAACAAACAAAGAAAAAGAAGACACAAGCAGGTGGGGTCATTTACCGAATCGGATAATCAACCCGAGCGTGGTGACAGCCATGGGAGCCGCAGGCAGAGGCCTGGCCACCGGGTCGCGAGCTCAGGGTGGACGAGCCCCTTTCTGCAGGAAAGCGATGGATGAGAGTCGTTGACGTCGTTGTCATATTTGTCCTTTACACCAGTCTGAAATATTTGTCTTAATTCCTCCCTCATCTCCTCCCTCCCAACTCCTCCCCCCTCCCCCCGCAAAAGTAAAAGAAGATCCTTAATCAGGCAGACGGGAGCGCTGCTAGGATCCGCGGCGTTCCCTCCTGCGGGGCCAGCGAGCTGCATGGGAAACACAGCAAAACAAGAAGACACGAGTAATGTCAGTGGATGGACGCTGCGACACCGAGTCGCCACTTCTACCAGCAGAACTCAGTGTGAGGGCTGCAGCCCGCGCCGGCTCCCGGCTCCTGAGAAACTCTAATCGGCTCTGCTGGTCCGGTGCCGGCTTGGCGGATAGCACCTACAATAATGGCTGCACGACCCCCACAGCCTACCCGCCCGCTCTGCCCCGACCTAGACAAGCCCCCAGCTCCACCCGGTCCCTGGGCAAAAGCGAACAGCACTCACTTTTCTCGTACCGGCTGGAAGGGCGATTTTAACGGTTGTGCGGGCGAATCCGGCCTAGGAATGAGGTCTCTCTCTGCGGGGACGGGAAGAGGCAGAAGGTTAGGGTAGGGAGACCCGGGAGGGGGCGGGGCGGCAGCGAAGGAGGCTCCCTCCCCACGCATTCCTTCCCTCTGCTCCGGCAGGTTGGCGGGGGAAACTTCCTCCCCTCCCCCTAGCAGGAGCTGGTCTAGGGGTACAACACAGCCGGTTCCGAGAGCCCTAGGGCCGTGGCCTAGCTCGCCCGGCCTTAAGCTTACCCCACCCCTCCCAGATCTGTGTTTTCCTAGCCTCCGTTTGGGTGGACAAGGCGCAGGTACCTGGGAGCGCAGGGCTGCTACGGGCCGAGGCCTTGTCGACGTGGAGCGCCCCGGTGGCAACAGTGACGGGTGGCTGTGGCGGTGGTGGTGCTGGCAGGTGCGGCCCATGGGGCGCGGCGTGGGGCGCTCCGACGCCCAGGAAGGAACGCATGTTCAGCAGCGAGCCCTGTGCTAGGAACGCACCATTGGTCCAGTTGGAGAACTTGCCGATGTGGCAGGTGTACAGTCCGTGGCTAGGCAGAAAAGCGGGGTGTTGCAGCGGCGCACCGGTGGGAGGCCCGTGGGCACCCGGATGGCCCGTGGGCGGCGGCGGAGACGCCTTGGGCGCGCCGTCGGGGCTGGTGGCTGTCTCAGCCAGCGACCAGATCTTGGGCTTGCTGTGCGGCGCGCCCTGCAGGCCGACTGCCGCGGCGCCAGGGCTCAGAAGGCGAGTGCTTCCAGGTTCTGGGACATCCTTGGCCAGACCCAAGGGCGAGTCTGGGGGCTTGAGCATGTCGGCAGCTGCTAGCGGCGAGCCCTGATCCCGAGCAAGCGCAGCAGGAGCGGCGGGCGCTCGAGGCGCCTCTGCCTTGTCCTCCTCGTCCTCGTTGCTCTGGTCGCCGTCATGTTCGTCAATCTTGTCAATGTCAATGCTCTCCAGGTCTATCTCTTCATCGTCCTCGGCTTTCTCGGGGTCACCCTCAGTGTCGCTACCAAAGAGGGTACCGTCCTCCTGGTCCTTGCTGCGCGCACCCCACGTAACCTTGTTCTCCTTCTTGAGGCGCCGGCGCGCGTTGGCGAACCAGGTGGAGACCTGCGTGAGGGTCATCTTGGTGATGATGGCCAGCATGATCTTCTCGCCCTTGGTGGGGTACGGGTTCTTGCGGTGCTCGTTCAGCCAGGCCTTGAGCGTGCTGGTGCTCTCGCGCGTGGCGTTCTTGGGCCGCCCGGGGTCCCCATATTGGAACTGGCCGTAGGGGTAATAGGCTGGTGCTGTGTGGGCTGCGAAGGTGGCGGGGTGCACCCCAGGGTTGTCCTTGAGTTCATACTGCGAGCCCTACAGCCAGGGCAGAGCGAAAGCAGAGAGAAAGGAAGGAGGTGGAGAGAGAAAGAGAGACAGGGAGTGAGAGGTGAGTCCCCTAAGCCGGGAAAGTCGGAGCAGCCACTCTGGTCAGCCCCAGGGCCTCCTAGGATCCCGGATCCACTGGACTTTTGCGGGGCCGGGTATGCTCCCACGCAAGAAGGCCCCATCCACTCCCGGGGAAGGAGCGGGCTCTCAGGTCCTGGAGCTGTGCTTTCCATCACAGAGATCCGGTTTTGTCACTCTAGAAAAACTTCTAGAAACCGTGCATTTCTAGAAGAATGCAGCTAGATAGTCACAGCTCCCTTGAATTTCCCTAGGCCCCCTCCCAGTCCCCCAACAACTCGTGAAACCCTGATCTCCAAGTTTATCTTATGCTAGCTAGAGAAGAAAACCTTTTAACTAGGCTCATGAAACAGTTCCTCCAAATGCAAAGGACCCAGAACTCAAGCCCCAGCAACCCCACTTTCCTCCCTGAAGGGATCAATTAAAATAAACCACCATGGGTTTTCTTCAGGTCTAAATTCACCCGCAGTTTAAAATGAAAGCACACTCCCTTCACCTCCCAAATTAATCTGCATAAATGATCCCCTCACACTTAGAGGTCTGCAGTGGTGACAGGTAATTTAAAATTTTAATCCTGGCCATCATCACAACAATAACAAAACACCATTTGTTTTTGTTTTGTTTTTTTTTAAATACAAAAGGAGGGCTTATCCAGTAAAATATTAACGCTGGGGCCTGGAGCCAGTGGCTGCAAGAGGGGAACCGGTTCAGTTTCCTGGGCCTCTTCTCGGTTACTTTATCTCTTAAGTTTGACTTTGATCTGGAGCAAGCAAACACAAACTGTTTGCAAGGCATTCGGAGGCGGTGATTTATTTGCAATCAATATTCTTTTTATCATCAGTAGTAAAACACAGCGAGTCAAATTATCGCATCAGGTTTTTTGGTAAATAACACTTTATCTTTCTAACAACCTCATTAGGCCTCATTATTACCATAAATTGCCCAGACAGACGTTTGCTCACAATTTTATCTTTTGACTTCCAAATACCCAATCCTAATGGCTTGGAAACCCAGGCCTAGAATGGAGTTTGACTTTGGGCTTACTTTCCAGAAATCGGCAGGAGACCTGGAGGTAAAGCACACACTTTGGGGGAAGCACTTAAACTTATCATTCCCTTAGTAAAACAAACAAACAAACAACAACATCAACCGGAAAAAAAACCCAAAAAACTAGCTTGCCCTTTCCCACTGAACCACAATGCACAAGGCCCTCCCCACAAGCCCCCTCCCCCACAGGCACACAGGCAGAGTTCCCAAATGGCTCACATCTGTATTCAAAATTTTGATAAAAATTACCATCCTCCATGAAATTTCGTCCAGTTTCTATGTTAGTGAAGGGGAACGCCAGCCTCTTAGAAAGTTGTAAAGAGCACATTTCTTTGACTAATTCCTTAGGTGACTGAGACCACACAGAAACGATTTCTGTGGCCAGATTCGTTTTTGCTTACTCTTTGCAAAATGCAGTTTGCGTTTTTCAATGTATTTTGGTAGTAATTGTAAAGACGACATTTAGGCCTCCTCTCTGCTGGGAATTCTTTTTGAAAGGACACCTTGTAAATCTCTCATCGCTTCCCAGGCATCCCCGGGAACAAAATGGGGGCTGATTTCTCTGGATAGTAGGCGATCTGAAAGGCCTCTGGGGCCCATTTCAGAGAAATAAGCTTTCTTTCCGAACTACAAGAAAAGTTACAAGAAAACATGCGTGCTGCTTTCCTCCTGCACTGCTGGCGGGCATTTAGTCCTGGTCTCTTCTTCGGAAGTGAGGATAATTCGGGGGTGCCTGAAAATTGTGTTATACAGCCCGCAGCCACGCAGAAGGGGCTGCCTCCTCTCCTCCTCGACTCTGCGCCTACCTCGCGATTCATGAGCAGCCCGAAGTTTAAACAGCCCCAACCTTGCAGGAAAACCGCTCACTTGGAGGGACCGACAGGCCAGTGCCCCTGCAGAGAATTAAATTTGCAGCCCCCTCCCCCATCTGACACCCACTGGGACGGGAGACTGAGAAGGCACCATTTATTTTAAGCCCAGGGACACTATTTTCTTTAAGCCTTCATTATGTAACGTGAGAAGTTAAATGCTTTGATACAAATGAAATGAAAACTTTGGCAACTTACAAAAGTAGAAGCTAACACCGTTTCAGACGCCAACATTTACTTCAACTTTATGTTTTTAAACCTTCAATTTGCACACACGCCATTAAAGGACCTCGCCGTTCCTCCGATGTCTATTGTTAGGGTGATGTTGAGGGACTCTAGCTTTACAGGGTTCCCTCCGGCCAACTCAGACAACGACCTTGGCTCTGCCAAACAGGGAAAAAGCAAGTCTCCTCCACCCAGTTCAGAAGCTGGGAGACCGCGCAAACGAGGGCCTCGGCAAGCAACGGGAGTCCTGGTAAACTGGGCCAGGCTGCGGGAACCCGTGGGCCTGTCCTGGCTCCCAGGCCGCGCGGGTAGAGTTTCCTCCCGACCTCCAGCGCCGGGCCGCTCACCCCTGGCCTGCTCCAGCGGCCTCTACTCGCGCGCGACACCCTTCCTGGCTGTGGCCTTCCGCCTCTTTGGGCCGAGATGGCCGGGCGTTACCGGCCCAGACTCTCTGCCCTCCTAAGTCCCTGGGGGTCGCGGCCTCCGCCCGCTGATAACCCGCCAGCAAAACATTTCCCGCTCCTAGCCTGGGTCGGGTCTAGGCGTCCTCTGTCCCTCCCGCGCGCCGGGGACCCTTGTTCCCCTTGCCCAAGGCGCCAGGTCCGAGGTTAGAGGCAGGCGAAGACTAGGAGGGCGCGCAGGAGGCCGCGCAGGAGGCCGCGCAGGAGGCCGGTGCACTCACCATCTGCGAGAAGAGGCTGAGATCCGCGGCGTAGGGCAGGAAGGCGCTGTAGTTGGGCGCGCCAGCGTAAGGTCCGGCCGCGGCGTACATGCCCAGCACCGAGGTGACGGCGGCCGCGCCAGCTCCGGCTCCCAGCTCCGCCGCCCCGGGCCGGCCCGACGAGGCGGCGGCCGCGGCCGCGGCGGCAGCCGCCAATACCCCTGGACGCTCACTGCCGTAGGCACCGGGCCCCGCGGCGCTCAGGTACTGCGGGTAGCCCAGCTGCGGGAAGGACATGTCCGCGGACTTGGCGGCGGCGGCGGCGGGCAAGTATTAAAGGGAGGGGGAGGGAGGCGGAGGCCAACGGGGGGATTGGAGGGGACGCCGCGGGGGGAAGCGGGCGGCAGCCCCGGCGCGCTCGGGCCGGCCCAAGAGTGGGGGCCGGTCGCTTCTCCTTGGCCGGTGCTCTCCGGCGCCCGGCTCCCGGCTGCGCCCGGATCCGCGATCGCGCGCCGACTGCGGCGGCTGTCCTCGGCTCGGCGGCGGGGCTTTCAGACACAATTTGAAGTTGATGCTTTGATTGGCATCCCCTTGAGCGCAGGCCCCGCCCCTGTCTCCCCTCCCGCCCCCTCCCTGCCTCCCGCCCGCCCTCACCGTCCGCTCCCGCCCCTCCCGGCGAGCACGTGGTGCCCCGCGCCGGCCGGGCCACCTCCTCCTGCGGTGGGCGCGCGCGGCTGGGCCACTGGGTCCGGGTCCGGAGGCTGCAGGCTCCTTCCGGACCAGCTCCCGAGGCTGTCTGACAACCTGTCGACATGGGTTTACAGCTGTCTGACACCCAGTTTTGCAGCTGAGGTGTGTCCCTTTTTTTAACAAAAACAACTCAGCAACTGCTTTTCTACCGTTAGGGAGGCGGGGCAGAGGCCCGCAGTGCTCAGCCCGGTCGAGGGTGACAGCCAACCTCCAGCGGCCTCTCTCAGAGACTGGAGCTGCCTTTCCTCCCCGGGACATCTTTGGTAGAAGTGCACCCGGGAGTCCTCCGTGCGCCAGTAAACCCGCGTGACGAGACACCTCCATGCAAGACGCGGCGTCCCAGTGGCCGTACTAGGTAGTAGCGGATCATCGATCAATATTTAATCTCGTTGTACTTGGAAAAGAGGGAGTGGCCAAGCTCTGCGGGCTTTTCCAAATGTGAAAACTTTGAGAAGGAGTAATCCAGCTGAGAAGTCCCTGCTTAGGGGAAAGATGCAGTCCGCAGCGCTAGGTTCTGCAGGGAGGAGGGGAGGGGTAAGGAGAGGAGGGGAGGGGCCTTTTCTTCACCAAGAAAGCACCACTGCAGTCAGAAGGAAGCATCCCCCATCTCTCTCCTGTCCTGGGAAGCCAGCGCGCACTGGACGCCCAGGTTTGTTTCCTAGGTGTGAGAGGCAGGAAGTAAACTTGTGAGGAGCGCGCGGACCCGAGGTGGCACCGCTGCCAGCCCGGAGACAGGGCAGTCCCCTGGCCCCTGGACCCACATCTTCCTTTTCTCTCCGCCTTCCCTTTCTATTCTCAGACTCGCTGGAAGAGACAAGCCGACCCAGCCGGCCGCAGCAAGCTTGGGAGTGGCTGTGGGTCTCCTGGCCTGGCTGCACCGCTAGAAGCTGAATGCAGGGTCCTCCTCGCCTCCGCGTGCCATGGAAGGCCCCTCGGGCAGGTCACTTTCGAGCTATTCTCGATGGCTTTGGTCCAAGTGCCGCGGGACCAAGAGTGTCCAGGTACCAAATCCTGTTCCTGGGGCCACTTTGCGCTCCACTCTCTGCAAGGCGGCAAGATTCGGAGTGCACTCCCGCCCCCACCCCCAGGTTGCTGCATGCTGGATCCCGCACGGAGTTTCACTTGTTACTGGGGACTGGGCCTAGGCTTAGGCAGCTGGGGGCTGCCGGATGAATCTAGCCCCAAGACCCCGCCCATCCTCTATGTATTGTTGGTTAGCAGAGCCCCAGGACCCCGTACTCAGGTCCGACCCCCAGCTCCTCCTCCCCCTGGAGACTTATGAGATGTGCAGTGCCTCCAGGCCCCTGGGAATTCTACAGCCTCAGGAAGGCTCCATTTCCCGGACCTGAGAACACTAAGCTACCGCCTATAATTAGACACAATAAGGCCCATAATAGTAATTACTAATTACCCGCTCCAAAATCAGGCATAATTTTTCTGCTCTGAGTTAGGTCTTCCTGTTCAGCTCCCCCCACCCCACCCTCCCACACACAACCTGTCCCTACACACTTCAGACACCTCCAGGCCTACCTCTAGCACCGGATTCTGGGTGGCCAGCAGTTGGCACTGGGTTCTGCAGCTCTGGGAAGTCCTTAACTGCAGGTTCCTCCTAATCACCAGTCCATCCCCTCACTTCCAACTCAGAGCTAGATCTCTTATTCCCATTCCCCATTCCCATACCCAAAGCAAATCCGAAGGATACAGATGAATCATTCTGTGAGAAATGGGCCAGCTATACCACTGTTCTGGTTTAGCAAAGCCTCAGTGTCACATTTCAAGGCCACAGTTAAATACAGGTGAGATAAGCCCTCCTGGAGAATGAGGTGGAATGTAAGTCCAGAAACACTTCCCAGTGCTAGGATTTGACTGCATGGATTGATTACCTTCTTCCTACCTGCTCATCACAGCTTCCCACCCTGGTTGCTGGTCTCAGGTTGCCACACTTCTAACCATTATAACCTTCAAGGGAGGGAACTGGAAAGGAGCAGTAGGGGCTTTGTCCTGACCCTCAACCAGTCTGACAGAGCCACCATTCTATGCTATGGGTATATCATCTACATTGGGCATCCAAAGCAGGTAAACTCTTGAAGACATCAGCAAGGTAAGTGGGAGACCTTGGCTGGGCCCTGCTTGAAATGTTCCCTGGGAACACCATCTAGCACTACTTGGCAAGGTCTGCAGATTTGCACCCAGGGATTTCCTGAGAAAGGTGCTGAAGTGTTGATTGTGGACCATTTTCTGCCCAAGAATCAGAGATGGGCTGCACCCCAGACCTCTGAGCTTCAATCCATTTCCAGGAGGTGCCAGCAGAACCTTGTGGGCTCTCTTATTTCTCTTTGCAACTAGCCACAGAGAGAGAAATAGGGAAATAAAGGGAAAGAAAATTGCCTTCAAATTCTCTAATTGGAGAGGGGGCTGGGAGATGAGCAGAAAAACCTCCTGGCTCAGCAGGCTCAGGACACCCCCCCCCAAACACACACACACACACACACACACACACACACACACACCATAGCATGGAATAGTGTACCAAGCCCCAGAGCTTGGTGGCCTCTGGTGTCCAAACTAGGAGAACACAGTGTCTGGTAGCCATTGGCCTAACTTGAATACCTTTAAAAGGGGTTCAGATCTTCCCCCAAGGAAGTCAGCCAGTTCAGTCTCTCTGGGAGAGAGAACAGGGAAGGAGGAGCAGAGAAGAGGGAAGCCAGGATCTGCTGGTGCTTCCAGCCCGTGCAGCAGGTGGGAGGATTTGGGGGCTATTGTGTGGGGCAAGTGTTGAAAACCAGTATCAGCAGTGCTGTGCTGGATTGGAAATAGGGAGATCAGTTTCGTGACCCTCAGATGCTGTCCCTAGCTCCTGAAGGGTGACTCAGGCAGGGACCCTCATAGGAGGCTGCTCCTGGCTAGAGAAGACCTGTTCTGTAGCTGCTGCATCTCTAACCTGCCACAAGCAGAGCCAAAACCTTCAGTCAGACAGACCTAGGGGTCGCTGCGGTGGGATCCCAGCTCTGCCGGTTGACCTCCAGGGCCAGGTCTGGGAGTCTGTGTGCCTTGCGACACAGTGTGAAGCTCTGCAAAGTCCTGACTCCCAAACAGGGAAGTCAGGACCCTGGGTGCACCCCTGCCCAGGGCTAGCATGGGACTTTGGGTGTTTATGCAGAGCATTCTCTTAGGACTTGGCACCAGAGGGCCTAGAACAGGCCTCCCCGTGGAGTGGGGGAGGTAAAGTGGTTGGGGGCAGTTGGCTAACAATGCACCTTTGAGCCAAGTTGATTTTTAATGTTTTTAAAACTTAATGAGAGGTTTACTTGTTTGTTTTGTGCCGTTTTCCAAGTGAGAGGAAACTGCTATCCCTGCTTGGAAGATCAGGTCTCCTTTTCCTCTTCCCAACCCTTCAGCACTGTTGCATGGAGCTTTTTACTTAGGACGAGATTAGACAAACCCAAGGGCGTCCTCATTACAACTTCATTGCTTAAGGAATAATTTTCCATTGCTTTTGAGGCTCTGCCTTCCCAGAGTCTCTGGCACAGAAGGGGAGGTCCATGAGAGGATGGATTCCCTCTGGAGCAGTCTTTGGAAATGGCCTCTGGCGCCAGTACCTGGCAGCGCAGACCAGTCAGGGAGATGCGCAGAGGAGCCTCTGCCCTGGCCTCCGGCCTTTCAAAATGGCCATTCTTTGCTCTAGGGATGGCGGGGCTCCTGAGCGGTGCAGTGGCTAAGTGTTGGGGTTGGGTGGCCTGACCCGGGATGTATCACATGGACCTCAATCAGGCCCTCAAAGAGTGCGCCCTGATTTAAGAGTCAAAGTAAACACTGTTTAGGACTCTGCAGACTCTTGGATGCCTTTCACTGGGTGACAGCGAGGGGAGCATTAGACAGTTCAGGGAAAGAGGCTGAGACCCTCTGCTGGAACCCCCTCACAGGTGGACCCCAGTTCCCCATATGGTGTGGTGTCTGCAGCAGCAACCCACGGTCCCCCAGGCCCCACCCCTGGGTGCCGGGCCTGCGTGCTCCTGCTGCGCCAAGCTGGGACCTCTCAGGTCCGGGGACTCCCCTGGTGACCCCAGACCAAAGTCCCAGGCTGAGTGCGTCCTGAGAGTGCGGGGCTGCCGGACCGGCGGCCGCCGATCCTGCACCGCTGAAGGAGCCCAATCAGGCTGGCGATTAGAGTGGCGGCGGGTGACTCCAGGGAGATCCTGGAAGGAAGCGCCAGGGAGCTTCGGAGGGCAGAGATCGAGGGCCGCTGTACACCGCCCGCATCCTGGTCGGAGCGGCGCAGAGCGACCTGGCTGGAGTGGGGCGACCGGGAAAGCTGCGGGCCAGCGCTGCCAGACGGAAGCCTCCGGAGCCGGGCCGAGTTTCCCACGGAGAAAGGGCAGAGGAATGGCCCACAGAGGCCGGCCTTGAGTGCCATGATGTCGCGGTCCCCGAGCATCGGAGAAAGTGAATTACATGCGTGTGCACACACGTAAATATTTTATAAATCTCCTGGTAATTAACCAGATCATCTCCATTATGCCTCCAATATGATCAACAGCGACGGTGTGAGGGCTTTCAGGGTTTATAATTTGATGTCACCAGACGGCTGCTCGGGGGCAGAGGCACAATCGCCGCGCCAGCTGCACTTGTATTTATTTGTTTTTCTGCTGTGTTCCTGTAGGGCTCCATTATGCAGTTTTTAATTAGTTTGTGTTTGTATTTCACCCGTCCCAAATCAATGCCATCCCGGAGCAAGGCCATGTAAATTCCTGCAGTACAGGTGTCGCTGCCTGTTCCGTACACTGGCAAACGCGTGTCTGACAAATGAAAGCGAGCTGCCACGCCGACTGGCAGCTCCCGGCAGCCAGAGCCGCAGATCAAAGCCAGCGGGGACTTCTGCGCCCAGGAGCGCCATAGCGGATGCTGCTTCTAATGCCATTGGAGGAAGTCGGGCAGAGCGAGTTGGGGACCAGGTGACTTTTCGTTCTCCTTAAACCCTGGCTGTCCCAGGGTCAGCGCTGGTCCTGGGCCCCCATTCCTGTTAGGGCATGCAGCCCCGGGAGCTTGGTGTGGTGATATTCACTGGCGGGTGACCTAGAGCTACCGAAGATCCCTGTGACTTCCTGCCTGCTTCCAGTCACATTAACCAGAGCAAAGATGAGCGTACTCCGACTTTTCTAGGCTTGCGACGCAGCCCCACCCTTGTTGTGCAGTCTCTTCCTTCTTGAAACGACCTCTGTGGAGTGCGTGTAAATCTTTTCTTCCAGCCACTGGGGAATTCTCTTAAAGCTTTCTTTTTTGTTGGGAATAAGAGATTGCTCATCTTTAACTAGGCCACATAGAAATTATGATTCAACAGCAGTGTATATTTAATTAGAGTAATCTCACTTGAATTTAATTACCTAATGAATTATTTGTTTAAAAGGTAGAAGGTCTTGTTTGCCAAGTACCAGGCAGACCTCTGATAAGAACTTCTGTTATAAGGATGTTCCAGTTTAAAAGCAGGCATGTCTAAAATTGATATCTTAACTCTCTGGATAGGCAATATCACTGCACTGCTCAGACCAAAACCATGGTCAGGGGAAGATGTCAGGAGTGGGCTGGGGGTGGTGACACCATTCCAGCCACACAGAGGTTCTCTTCTTTCCCTTTGCAAAGTAGTGTCCTCTGACTTTTTTTTTTTTTTTGTCTTGTAAGTTCAGTTTATTTTAAAAACTTAACTAATGTTGCTTTCAGTGTTTTTTTTTCTTTTTTTCCTTCTAGAGCAAGATAAGACTGCTGTCTGTTAGAGGACTTATGATTAGTATTTATGCCTGGGGTATCCACACTGGTTTCTGGAAGTCCGTCTGATGCATATCAAATTTTACTGACCCAAAAGTTGACCTTAACCTTTAACTCCTAAAGTTTGGAACAACTCCACATTCTCTTGTTTCCAAAAGCAAGTGAAAACTGTGCCTGAACATGCCATCCTTCCCAGGAGGCTCCCGAGTTGTCCCTAGGTAATGCCAGCAGCTGTTGCACCTAATCATAGGGACCTGGCTGAGGGAGAGTGATCCTGACTGGAGCTCCCATCCTGTTTCCCACTGTCCTGGCCAGCTGCTGCAGAAGCAGACGACTTCATTTCTTTCTCCATCCCTGTGTGAGGGAGACTCAGCCGGGAAATGCATATAGGGGGCCCAGGTCTCACTGAAAAGAGGAAATAAGAACATCTCAAATCAACATGACTGAATTTCACTGTAATTTCCGTTGCCATTTTATTCATTGGTTTGCAGGCATGGGCACTTATCATGTAAATGTTAAATATTACAAATATTATGTCCAACAAAGTAGGAATGAGCCTATAGAAAAATACCACAGTTGAAAAGAATTATTAATTTTTGGTTCCTTTTTACAATCTGTGATTTATAGCATAGCTGTGCATTTTGAAATTGATGCTCCAACAATCAAGACTGGTTAAATTATAAACTCAATCACATTCAATTATGGTCACAGAAGTATATTTCTTCCAAAGAAACAGATTTACATGAATACATTTTTAAAGCTTATTTATGAATTTACTTCACATATTCTTCCAAATAACAACTGACAGTAACAACCAGAGAGGATGTGAGATAATAGCTTAGGATTGATAATACATTTCTCAGATCTGAGCAAATCCAAAGATGATTTCCTAGTAAAACCCTCAAAGGAAATGATATGTGTGGGATGGGAGAATGGGAAAACTCTAAATGGCATATTTGTGTTTGAAGCTTCCAAAAATGTTTGAAATTTAGACCAGTGTTCTATCTCCCATGACTTCATATCAGCCCTCCAACCATTTATAATATTAAAGATAAAAGTCTACCTACTAGAAACCCCTTTAAAAATCTATCAACAAAAATATGCTCACAGGATACATACTGAGTAGAAAGTTTAATGCATTCCAGGTTTCTAAGGGATGAATGCTCTCAACCTCCTGGGTCTTTAGGTTACTATCTATTCATCAGACACTGGGGACATCAGCTCAACAAAAATGTCCAGCAGATGAATGTCTCAAAGGTTAGCACATATTTTGGAATTTCAGGGAAAAGTTTCTGGAAGGTTTGAAGACATCTAGGGTCTCCAAGCATTTTCCAACACTATTGTTACAAGAAAAAAAAATGTGTTATATGAATGGGACTAAAGAGAAAGCAATATATTCCCTGCAGCAAGTGTCCTTGACCTGTTCTTGCTCTGACTTGCCTCAGGGAGCTGTCACCCTGGCCATCCAGGGCTGCTGCATGGTGGAGTGTTACTGGCTGGGGTACCATCAGCTCTGTCTCTCCTTTCCAGTGCCTGATGAAGTGCTTGAAGACTTCCGTTCTCGTGATCCCTAGCCTCATACAACTCTGGAAGACTGTGTATGTGTGCACATGTGTCCATGTGTGTGGAGTGTGGGAAGAGCATGGGAGGAGGGGGAAGAGGAGGGCACATTTTCTTCCGTCAGGCACACTCAAGGGCTGGGTGGTCCACAGAACATGACATGGGCAACCAAGCAGGAAGCCAGTCTACGCCAAGTTTGCAGGTGGGAAGAACCCCTTCCTTGTCCTGCCTGTCTGGCCCCAGGTATCCTCCCAAGCACCTGGATTTCAGGGCCATCTCAGTGTCCTCCTTCTGACTACAGGTTACAGAGATATCTTCAGTGCCACTTGCTGCAGATGGTGGGGCTTTCTGCACTCTTTATTGGAAATCCAGGGGTCCAGGGTCTACCCTCCTGGGAATAACTGAGGAAACAGCAGGCAAATCAGAGCTTTTAATTTGATCTAGGATTTTTGTTAATTGACAGAGATGGGTGAAGCTAATCTCCGGCACTGGGAGCACTTACATTTTAATAAGGGGCCACCAGTGCCTCGACCCACCCTCCTTAAGAAGACCACACTCTGGATGGTTTGGTGGAAGGACTTCCTTTCCAGTGGCCCTTTTCTTTTGGGGGGGGGGGGTTTACATGCATCTGTCAAAGGCTGCTTCTCCCCAGCTGCTGCTGATGGCGGAAGCGGGTCTGGAGGAGGCTTCAGAACTCTGCTGAGGTATCGGGTCACTAGAACCACCATAACAGGGCACCACACACTGGTGGCTTCAACAGCAACTTATAGTCTCACAGTCCTGGAGGCTCAAAGTCCAAAACCAAAGTGTCAGGTGGGCTGGCTCCTCCCGGGGACCGGTGCTTGGCTTGAAGGCAGCCACCTTCTCACTCCATCCTCACAGGGGTCTTTCCTCCACGCAAGGACATCCCTGGCATCTGTTTGTCTGAAACTCCTTCTCTTATGGGGATGCCAGCCAGGGTGATGCACATATTAAAAGCCTGATTCTAATTTATTCACCTACTTGAAGGCCTTATCTCAAGATTCTGTCCCATTTTGAGGTACTAAAGGCTGGGGAGAACCTCAGCACATGAGTTCCTGGGGGGCCTAACGCAGACCATGACACCACCCATGCCCACCTGTGCTCTTAGCCAAGGCAACACAGGAGTTCCCAGTGAGACCTAAGTCACTTTTGACACTGCAGTGTATCTTTAGCTTTGAGGGAAAGGTCTAGGAAAAAGCTCTGTAGTTTGTCCTCTTCTGTGTTACAAAAACAAGACTATATGCTGTTTGGTAGGATTATGTTCTGCACATTAAACCATTTTAACAATGATTATTGTCAAAGGCTAAATTTCCCACCCTGTTAATGCTCTGTTCGACTATAAAAACATTTGAGTTCATATGGTTTGCAGACCCTCTAGATTTGAAGGAAGCACATTTGGGGAAATGAATACCATCCTCAAATCAAGCAAGGTCAGCCTCTTCCTTGTTGACTCCCAACTTGTCCCAGGAGGAAGGATGGATTTGTAGACCACAAAAGCTGATGTGTAGACCCTGTTGCTTATAGTAGATGTGCCAATTGCAACATCATGATATATATCTGGCAAGACAATCCGTAAGCTACCAATTAAGTCCTTTCCTAAGATTTGCAAAGGAGGAACCTGCTGTGGTGATGGCTATCATGAGGATTCACCCGGTGCCCAGGCTCACTGCATGTGCACTAGGCTTGGCCTGGTGAAAAGAAGTGCCATGAAAAGAGAAAGCTGGAGTCTCCTCTTGTCTTTCACCAGCAGCTGTGCGTCAGTGCCAGCAAAGGCGTCACCACTACAGTGATGGGGGGGTGGTGGAGGATCAGCAGTCATTTTACAAGCTGAAGACTTTGTGACATTATCTCTAGGGTTGAGTTAAGTGGTTTGTCCAAGGTCGCTCAGCAAGTGTGCAATAAATCCAGGATTAGGACCTTGGCACCTGCTTCAACAATCTGCGTGCTGGGCCAGGGCAGAGGGGCTTGCTGATCTCCTGATGTAGCCCTCTCCTCCAAAACCCCCAAGAGCCCCAGCTCTCTGCTCTTGCAGGGCCAGCTGCTCCTGCCACTGTGACCAGATAGTCACATAGCTGCTGCCAGCTCCTGGCAGTCTTCCTCCCTCCCTCCCTCCCTCCCTCCGTCTCATGTATTTTTATTCTCTTAAGCCTTTGGTGAGAATCACTGTAAGCAATGGACAGTACATTTCGCGGAGGGGGAAGCTAAGGTACATTAAACAGTTGTCTAAGTAAGTGTCTAAATTAGACAGTTAAGTGCAATACGTACAGAAACGCGGTTATTCTTCAAGGCAGAAGTAAGTGCCAGGACCGATGCCAGCCATGGGCTCTTGCCTCAGCTTCAGATCATCCCACCTCACTCCCCTGTGTGATGCTTGGCTCTAAGCTGCCCCCTTCTCACAGAGGAGGAAGCAGCTCAGCTCCCCGGGGTCACGGCCTGCCCTGCTCAGGTTCAGCAGGCCACAGCTTTTACCGGGCAGCAGCCACAGGTCCCGATCCTGGGTTCCCAGCGTGGGGGAGTCAGCATGTCCGCTCCCTCAGAGAGGCCTGCCCAGTGCAGCAGTGTGGCTGCCTCAGAAGCCAAGACTCCAGTCTTTGGGCTCCTCTGCGTCTCAGCACTGAGGCCCCTTTCTTTTCTGTCTTGGCCTAGGGCAGCCGCCGCAGAGCACTGCTGCCTGCATTGGTCTTCTGGACACTCGGTGCTCCCAGTCCTTTCCTCAGCTGGCAGAGTCCTCTTTACGCTGTGTGGCTAGTGAGGGCTGTCAAACGAGGTGCCCCAGGGAGCCATTGTCTCACAGTCTGGAGGCCGGAGGCGGGCAGCATCAGCTGGACTGGCTCTTTTGTGGGCTCTGAAGGAGGCTCTACCCCAGGCCTCTCTGCCTAGGTTCTCGGTGTTTGCTGGTGGCTTATGTCCCTTGGCTTATACTCACCACCGAGCCCTGCCCACATCTGCAGGTGATGTTCCCCCTGTGTGCTCTGTGCCGGCATCTACTCTTATAAGAACACTGGCCACACTTGATCAGCGCCACCCTGTTCCAGGATGACATCGTCGTAACTGATACCACTTGTGACAAGCCAGTTCCCAGATTAGCCTCTCAGCTACTAGGTTAGGACTTCCACCGGTGGATTCCAGAGGACCATGATTCATCCCTTAACAACACCAGCTTAAAATTCTTCCTTCTAAATTCTCCCTGTCCACACACCTGCTGTCAGTGCTATCACCGGACGAGATTCTCCCAATTGAGGCTGCATCCAAGGGGGCAGTGATGAGTGCTGTCAGTGAGGAGAGAGTGCAGGGACACTGGCCCTGGCTTTGAAGGGTGACTTGGGTCTGATGGACAGAGAACCTGAGTGAAGAGGCTGTCACAGCCTTGGGCAAGCCCTGGGAACCTGGGAGAGCTTTGGCAAGGCTGCAGAATAGTTGACCCAAGGATGCAGGAAGGCCCCTGAGGACCAGCAGTGGTGGACTTCAGGGCAGAGTACTGAGCATGGACCCCGTTTCCTGGACAATGAGGCATGGAGAAGGGTGACTAGAAGGTAGGCGCCAAAGTCCATACCAGTGGTCTAGCAGGAAGCTGGTTCACGTGGGAGCTGTGGACTGAAGCCAGGCATAATGCAGTGTCCATGCACAATGTCTGCATCTCCCCTGAGTGCACAGCTCAAGGAGTGACCAGCAAGTCCCAGGCTGGGCATCAGACTCAGCTTCCAGCCTGACTGAACCCCCCCGCCCCCTCTCCTGGCACCAGCTCACCCCATGGTACAAGAGGCAGTAGGTGCTCCATGACATAAGACAGACTCCATGCTGGGGGCTCTGGGAAGGCTGTGCATGTCGGCTTACCTGGTGGACAGAGGACAATGCGGACCCTTCCTCAGCTCCACTTTTCTCACCTTATGTATTGCATACAGATAAGATTTTGTTTGAACAAAGGATTTCGTGCTTAAATGTGAATTTGAAAAAATCATATTCACTGTTAGGATTAGATTTTATTATCTTCAACTGATTGTTATGCAGAAACTTTTATTGTTTGTGAAATACAGTGGATGAAATGACACTTCCAAGGTCAGAACAAGTGGATTTTCCATAGGTTGGTAGAGCCTCAGCCACATCCTTTATTGCAAAAATTTTGTAACATTTGGATGATTTTTATGAAGTGTAAATTTTTAAATATAAATCTGGAATGACAGAA